TTCCGAGCTGCGCCCGTGGGCAAGACGGTGGCAGACGCCCGGCTGCCCAGGAGCCGCCGCCGTGTGCCCATCGCTTGGAGGGCGGGTCCACCGGGTGAAGCGGTGTTGGCGGCACCCTCGAAACTTCGTCCGAGTTCACACTGACATAATTTGAGATTGGAAGGCCCCGGGGTTTGAGTCGAGCTGCTCCTTCACCACTACCCTTCTCTGTACAGACTCTGTCGGTAAGGCTTAAGCTGCTTCAGGATGAAAAATGCCCAGTGATGACAGTTTGTGTAGTGGCTGTTAGGAGCCTAGGCTTTTGAATGTGCTTTCTGAAATATGTTAACTTCATAATACAAAAATACACGAGTAGATAATAAGAAGGGCTTACTTAAAACAAAAAGTTGCAGTAATTTCTGGACATTTTGCTGGACATCCAGATGTTATAGAAGGTATTTGTGACCAGATAGCCTCAAGATTCCAAGCTTTATGACACAGCTCTAGGATCTCAGCTCTTGCCTGATGTCACAGAATCATTCAGGTTGGAAAAGACCCTTGGGATCATAGAGGTCAGCCATCAGCCCTACTCTACAAAGTTCTCCCTACACCATATCCCCCAACATCTCATCTAAACCACCCTTAAACACATCCAGGGATAGGGACTCCACCACCTCCCTGGGCAGCCTATTGTACTGTCTGACCACTCTTGTTGTGATAAATTTTTTCATTATGTCCCGTCTGAGCCTCTGCTGTTGCAGTTTAAAGCCATTCCCTCTTGTTCTGACACTAATTACCTGTAAGAAGAGACCAGCACCAACTGTTACTCGATTTTGCTGTTTACACATTTGACTTGATTCAGTTATGTGTTTTGCTTCCTTGTTTGTGTTTACCTTAAATCTTACTTCTGTGGTTACTGTGGTTTTCCATTAGCAAAAGAGAATCTTTTGGTTTGTGTGGTTTGTTTTTTTTTTTTCTGTAGTTACGCGCCACTCACCATTCTAACTTTAGTCTTGGGACCACAAAGTTCAGCAATGTGTTGATGTTGGGAAAGAAAAGAGCAGAGTTATTAATCTTGGTTTACTTTTATATAACCTGTTAATTTTGATTTTCGGTTAAATACACTCTCAATCCTTGTTTGTCATAATAAAAAGATACTTCATGTGTGAACTAGCATACTGATGTTTTGATGTGTCTGCAGACAGCTCCATTATCTTTTGGGCTCTTTATTTAAACAGAAACAAACCACAAGCTTCTAATTAGTGAGTCTAGTTGTTCTTGTGGTTACTTCTTGGTGCCCTGTGAAGGTCTTAAAGAGATTATTGGTAGTTGCAGGGAAAGCAAGGTGTAGCTGCAGATGAGCACGAAAATGATGACTTGAAAGTCAAACCAGGAGTTTCCATCTCTTAGTGACTTTATGGAGAACTCTTTTCTGTCAGCTTCTCAGAAGAGTGTGTGTGGAGGATTAAGCTCAAGGTGCAATCAGTCTATAGTAGATTCCCCTTCTGTGACTGTAGTTGGGTCACCTAAAAATGTCAGTGAGGAGGTTCTTCATATTCTTATTTACTTGTTCCTATGATGTGATACTTGCCAAAAACCTGATGATTTTGGGGGGAGCAGGGAATACACAGCTATGACCTCTTATGAAGAGTGAGGTCTTACTGCTTGATAGTCTGTCAGTACCTGTCTCTAACAGATCATCTTTGTACAACACAGAATACAAATTGCAGTTCAGGACAAGAAATCCTGAGTAGTTTAATAAAACAAATAGTTAATGGTATTTATGTCTACTAGATTCTACATAAACCTGTATGTGGCTATTTGTTGTTTGGTGGCAGACCTTACTATGACATCCAGTTTCTTAAATTGCCTCAGAGTATTTTTAAGATGGATATCTTGGGGATATTTAAGCTTATCTATAATTCTCTTTACAAAGTCTTAAGAATAAAGTTTGATTTTTCCACCTATTTCAGAGCACATTCCCTGATGGCATCTTTCTTAAAGCTGTTAAGTAATATTAAAACGTGACAAATACTCTTAAAATGCTTTGCACAAGGGTGCACAGGAGTACTGGTAGTTGTAAAGATCTCGGCTTGCAAGGTATGATGAGAATGTGTGTTCTCTTAACAGGTTTTTCCTTGCCCTTTCAGAAAGCTGAAGTGCAGCGTGGCGTATGCACTGACTTTAGTTTAAATATGGGTAGGGTTAACTGTAGTAGTTTGGATCTGGCTAACAGAGCCACCTGAAAAAAAAAACAGGGAGTTTTCTGGCATGTTTGGTACTATTGTTAAATTCTTGCAGAGTAAACTTTATCTTGCCCTTCTTTGCAAAATACACTGATTGTTGGGGTGAGATTTGTCTCATTTATCCTTGGTTGTTAAAGGTTGCTGGCAGATGCACAGCTGAGCCAGTCTAGCAGTGTGTTGTTGTGAAAGCAAACAATTGCCTTACATTCTCATCACCATCCTACCTGTGGCTCTGACTGTCTTGGTTGTTCAACAAGCTAACTTGGGTCATTAAAAAGGTAGAAAGATGCTCACTTCTGCTGATCTCCTTTTCTGTCAACAGAGAAGTACCAGCACCTGCACACAGGACTTGAGAGCAAGGGAAAGTAGTGGGGTGAGTTGGTGTTACAGAGGCTCTCAACCAACCACCAAAAATTAGAAATTTATTGTTAACACAATTAACTAGCCCTCTGCAAATTACATGTTTAAATGTCTGTGGGAGGAAAACAGAGCAACTTCCTAGGGTTTAACGACCACCCAAAACGCTCTTTCATACACCTAACAAGTGAGGGCTCTCAACCTCAGGGACCTTCTCAGGGCAGCATCCTGACCCAAGCCACCTCAAGGAGTTCCCTTGGGTGCCATCCTGACCTCAGAGGAGAATTCTTGACCACAGGGTGCTGCTCCAGGTGACAAGCTCAAAATAAAATGGCCCCTCTGGGGGACTCAATTGATACTCAGGCCGAATCTGATCTATGGTCAATAGCAGCTCCCATTGGCCAAAGGCCCCAACTACCATGAAGCCCCAAGAACAAAGGCAATCAATAGCTGCTACGCTTCAGCAGCCAAGAAGCACTGTTTTTGTTGGGCAGGTGCATCTGTCACAGTTGGGACTGTTTTCTAAACTGCAAACTGTTTGTTTGACTTGGGTATAACTGGTGGCCCCAGCATAAGAGTCAGGTTAGTGGTGGGTAGGTATTTGGTTCCCTTTAGAGTCTGTGGAGATAAATTGTGGGATAAATTGCTCTCGGGATGTCCTGGGTCTGTGGAGGAAGCATAGCTGATTCACTGCTTAGTTGGCTGACGTTGGACAAAATGTTCCATGGTCTAGCTGGCCTTCCTGTGCTGTTTGAATATTTTCAAAAACTGCAGGTTTCCCCAGACACGCATGCAACTCTGCTTTCTCTAGTTAATACAGCATTCTTCTGAAGTGCTTTGTTCATTTATTTTATTACCAGACATTCTCTTTCAGTCCCTTGCCTGATTAGTGCATCAATCTGAAGCTTCTAGTTACTTTCACAGTGTTGTAGGACTTTCCCTATCCTTTTTTATCAAAATTAATTTTAAGGCCCAGTCACCTATTTGTTGGATTCTCTGATTTTTTTCTGGCTTCAGTCTTATATATATAGTGTGATTTTCTGAATTTAAGTGCTGGAAGCTTCTTCTATCCACATTTTTAATCCCTCAAGAAAAACTGCATTGTTTCTTTAGTTGATACTGCTATAGTGGACTTGTTGCATACTTGTAGAGTGCCTGCCATGCACTGGGTACTGCTGTAGCTAAATAAATATGAAGATTTCTCTGGATATTTCAGATCTTAAAGAACTAGGAAAAAAGTGAGTTGAAAAAAAATAATCTCCCTATTTCTGTTCTGAGGAAGGGATGGGCAAATGATATGCATGACTGTGAATACAACTATTCACTAGAACCATGTTGTGTTAATGCATGTGAAGTTGTAAAAGTTGTTCCAGGGTTTCCTGTGATCCTTATGTGGTGTGCTGTAATGAGCTAGATAAGCTGTTTTGAGGAAGCAGACTTGAAATATTTTGAAGCATATTTTCATTATTGTAGGTGTTTTGGGGTGGTCAGGTGAAGATTGGTGGCTGGGCAACAGCTGAGCTTCAATCTGAAATCTGTAACTGTTCTAATGTAGAGAGTGCCTAGAGAAATAAGAAGAGGAGTGATTGATTTTTTGCACAATAATTAAAGCAATTGAAATGTAAGTATATGTTATCCATGAGTGTCTTCCAAGCAGTGTAGGATGTAACAGTGGAAGAAACAATTTGCTGTAGGTTTAAAGATGGTCTCAAATACCTGGACATATAATAACATGGTAATGGGCAGTGACTTGGTATGTATGCACTGCATGGGTAAAGGTTCTACCTAGGTTGGTAGTTAGAGTGGTAGGGTTCCCATGGTTGAGCTCGTCAGGGAAGGATCACTGCTGAGCAGTAGGTTGCTAGAGATGATGAATGTTTAGTGATGGTTTTAAACACTCAGCAGCTGTCTCCAGCCAGATAAAATGGGTGACAGGAGACAAGCTGAAACAAAATTACATATATTTATTTACCAGAAAGGCAAGCTTGTCCAATTACTTTTGTCATGTTGATCTATATACAAAAGCTTGAATGCTTTTAGACATACTTCTTATGTTACTGTAAATCACTTCCTTGCAAAACATAGCCTTACTGTTTTGTCTGCTGTAGAGGGGGAAAAGTGGAAAACTGACTGCTAGCTAAACAAAATAAAGCATTAATGACTATAGTTTGGGTTTTTCTTATTTTTACATTTCAGCAGATGTACTGCTACAATCGGTGTTATTTGTACTCCAGAGAGTGGCACTGTAGAATGCTTATTGCTGTTAGATTGAGGGAAAGCAGATCGCACTATTTTGTTGTCGTGTGTGCTGAGCCATTTCTAAAGTACATGGCTGTAACTCCATTAGTGAGAGCTGTGCTGGTAATGCTAGGTAGGAATGAGACAGTTCTTCACACTCTTAGTGTCTGTGTTAAATGTTGTGAGCTAAATCTCTGAGCAAGTTTTCCCTGAAGTACATGGAAAATGAATGGAAACCAGCTGGTTTGTGAGCAGATCCTAATTCTACACTATTTTAAAATAAATTACAATTCTGTGGCTAAGATGATCCAGACACTTGGAAGTCAAAAGAGAGCAAAACAAGCTGCTGCTTTGGGGGAGCTGCAAATCAGCAATTACTTAATTGCTTTTATTTTTCTTTCATGAGCCAAACTACTTAAAGGAGTACAGTTCTGGCTGATTTCTCAACACTACAACAGGAAGGTGTTTCAGCTTTTTTTATCTGTTGTTTAGAGATTGAGCTTTGGATTTCTGTGGAGGAAAAAGCTATTGCCAAGAGGCTGAAGTTCTTCCTGGTAAAAATCACTAGGTTGAAAGGTGAAGTGTATGTTGTATACATCTGGTGTGTGTTTTTATAATTCACAGAGGCTTTTCTGATCTTGTTTTACTTCTTTCCCCCATTCCTTTAGGGCTAGGATGACACTGAATTGCTGAGATTTCATCTGGCTTTCAGAGTGTGAAGTGTTTAGCTCCAGTTTCTGTTTTGCTTCTGAGAACATGTTCAGATGAGCTGTCTCATAGTTGGACAACTCATAACACTAATAACAGTGCTTAATTTTAATTCTTTTCCCCTGCTTCTGTGACTCCAGTTGCATGAAATTCTAACATGGCTTTGCAACCAATCTTGTTGCAAACAAGCAAGGAAGGTTGTTTGAGCTGATGTAACTGATAATACGCTACCTGTACAACTAAATTAGATATTGGGTTTTAATCGTATTGTTGTTGCTAGTCCAGATTATACATCTTTTTCTCTGTCACCCCAATTGTAAGAGCTTTATCTTCAGGTGTCTACCAGTTTGTGATAGAGATGTTTGCATTAAAAGAATTAGAAAACCAAAGTAAATTTATATGGGGAGTCTTCCTGTTTCAGAGCCCAGGATAATTTGGAGCAGAGTCAGGGATAGCACACTATGGCCCTGTGCATGTGCGACTTTCTAGTTTCAGGATCCAACCTGACAGAATTGGTTTCAGCAGGAAGTCTTGCCAGAGAGCCTGTGTGAAACAGTTGCTCGGTGTTTTGATTAAAGCTTCCTGCAGCAGTGATCAAACAACAGAGGATTGATGTAGGCCCTCATACTTCCCAAGAGGTGATGAAGATATCATTACAGACATACCCCAACAAGACACCTTTCCTTTCCTCTTTTCCTCCTCTGCTGTACTACTTCCTTGCAAGCTGCAGTTCCTACAGACCTAGGTGGGAGGAGAGGAACAGAACAGAGGCCTCCTGTGAATAATGCCGAGAGCTGGAAGTAGGAGCCCATGTGGCCAAAATCTAAATTCTGTGCTTTTGTCTGAGCTGTGTACCCAACTGATCTGAACTGTTGGGTCTAAGAAGTGATATGTAAAATGCCATGGGGGGACTGGATAGCACTGAACAGGAGAAATGAAAAATAACGGTTGAGTATAGAAGAGTGTACGTGTCACAGGTTCTTGCAGTCTACCACTTTGTGGTGTTACTCAGCTAGTCACTTAGCTGGTGCTGGGTCTGTGATGTAAAGCCTGCCATCTTGTGGATGTAGTGCTAAAACATCCATGTACAAAACATGTGGAAGTTTACCACACCAAATGACTTCTGCTTTTTACACTTCTAGAGAGAAAGTATAATCAAGCTGAAATCGGTTATACTTCATAACTTCCTTTACTATGATTCAGCATTTCTGTCAGGAGGTATTCTAATTTCTCAGATGAACCTTGTTTCTGTGACTGTATTTGTTGCAGTTAGTATTTATAAACAAGTTGGGATGTTACAGCAGAAAAGTTGATACAAACTTACAAATTTATTAGAATAGTTTAGTCTTCAGTCTATAGTCTTAACAGTGTGCAGCTGCTTATCTTCAGGGCTTCAATCTGACTTGAAAAATCTTATCTTAAATAAGATCTGTCAAAAATATTGTTTATATTAGTCTAAAAATCCTTTCATAATTAAGGCTTTCTTGTTCCCTCTCTTCAGGTATACTGTTTCTGTAATTTTTGGACTCATTTTAAAAGTGTCTTTAGATCCCATTTCATTTGCAACTTCAAGTTCAGTAAGTCTGTGGTGCTGCTCAAGTGGATGTGGTAGTGTTCAGCAGAAATGATGTAGCCAGTCTGAAAAAAATAAAAACTATTTGATATTGAAGTTGTGGTAGAATGAAGCAGTGATTCATGGCACTGGTACTGTACTACCAATTTGCTTACATTGGCTGAAAATTAATATAAACTTGCTTGTTCTTTGAGGATTGGTAACTTCTATTTAAGCATACTCAAGAACAGTGCTACAGTAATGAAATATATAAGGCTAAACATTGGCCAGCATGAGAACTGAATTTAGCAGTCCAACTTCAGTAAAGTCTACAAGGGAAACTTGTATTTAATCCCTAAAGAAAGAACTGTTTCATTGTGTTAGAGCTGTGGAGAGAAACTTTGTGACTTAGTGTTGTGTGTGGTTTTTAGTGAGTCATTTTTCTTTTATTAAAAGTTACTTTGAAACTGACGTCTTAACTTGATCTACTGCAGTTTGAGAGTGCTAGACTGTCCTCTGAGATGAGCAGTTCTGCAGTCAACTCAGTAAGAGAACAACTGAATGAAAGCTGCATGGGAATTGATAGTCTGTCTTCCTATTCTCCAGCCTTCAGAAGGAGGTAACGAGCTGTTTGTGGTTCTTCAGTCTTTCTAATTATGGTTGTTGATTCTTATATTAAAGGACTTTCCTTTAACTTATGAGCATATTCAGTATTCATGACTTGAATTTGTATTCTGTTCTATGGTTTGGTACTTTTCCAAATTTCTTAATGTCTCCTTTCTAGAAAGTTGCATTTTTTGTGCAGTATCCTCCTAGAGTGGGTATTTGAAAGATAGTACTGTTAACTGCCTTTTGTGGAAGCTTTTGCTCATAGATGGGACAATTCTAGACAAGAGATCTATATTAAAAGTTCTTGACATTCTAAGCAATTTAGTTCTGTTCTGTAGTAATTGGACAGCCTAGCATGGGATTCCACAAAGCAACGTTCAAAGCCAGGACTGGAATATTCAGTCTCTGTCTGGTGTCTTTTTTCATCCTAGATCCAGTTAGCATCTAGAGCTCTTAAAAAACCTAAACAAACAACCCCCCCAAAAAAAACCCAACAAACACCCAAAACAGAGTGATCTTACCAGGATTAGGATAAAATGTGAGACATGAGAAAATACATCAAATAACTCAAGCATTTGTAGAGCAGGGTCTTGAGCAGAAACTAATTATACTTAGATCACAGAGCAGAGCACATAGCTCACCTCTAAAGAAGTATGACATGACTTATGACATGCTGAATGTCAGTACTAGTTTATTTGATGGGAGTAATGTTGTGTGGATTGCAGTGGAAAATCTAGAGTGAAAATGAGAAGTATTAGGAGTTGGTTCAGAAGTGAGCTTTTGTAACTTACTAATGACTTGAAAATGCAACAAAACTTTTTTTTTTTTTAAATATGAGTAACATTTGGCTTTGATCTTTTCTGTTGTATTCCCCCTGTACAGCAAACTCTTGTATGACTTGAAATTCCTGTGTATTTCAAGTGAAGAATATAAATGCAGGGGACACTATTTAATAATTTTCAAAATAACTTGGCAAAGACTAGTATTGAGTTTTCCCAGTTTTCCTGTTACATAAGCAAATTAGTCTCTGGAACAAATCAGGTGATGTAATGAATGTGCCTGAGGTTACACAAGAATTGGATTGAGAGTTTTGTCTATGTGGGTCTTATTTCTGCCTTTACATTGCCATCATTTTTCTTTTGGTAGTTCAGTCAACAGGCATTTCTGAGAAGTTTTTTCATTCTTTAGTTAATTAACTGTGTTCTGTTGCTTAGTTAGGAGTGGCAGCTTTGTTAAGAGAACTTGGTTCTGAATTTCTAGAGGTGTGCTGTTTGTTAACTTCAGGGCTGTCAAAATCAACTTATGCCAGTTTGACTGTAATTGTCCACTAAACCCCCCATTTTGGTGCTGTGGGGGCTTTTTTAGTGCTAGTGATGTCAACTAGGAGAGTTTTGCGTACCATTTGCTGCTAGTACTAACTTTAGCTTTGTTCTCTTGAAGACAACTCTTATCACTGCTGGTCTGGTTTGAGTTACCATCATGGAGCTCTGAGACTTGCCACAGGATCTGAAGTACACTCAGCTGCACTTTTGATTCTGTGTGTCCTGTCCAGCACATCTTAAACGCTTTGACTCTTAAGCTCAATTTTTCTTGATGTGAGTAAATTCAGGTGTAGTAACATGTAATTAGATCTCAGAAAAATGGAACAGGTAGTTCTCTTTCCAAGTACGTTGCAAGTTTTGTTGGAATTTAAGGTGTTATGTTTGTTAGTAGATGAGGTGGAGAACAGGAAGTTGAATATGGGCAAGTTTGAATTCAGAAAAGGGGTAGGATGCTTTACCTAGTGTTTTGAATTCCATGTCACCTGAATAGCATTGTTCATGGACGTCTGGATGAGTGTTTCTGTGCATCACTGATGTTTTCAATGCTTTCTAGACTAGAGCATGGCAAAATAGAGTGTGTGAGCTTGAGGACAGCTTGGCCAAGGGAAAGGAAAACCTTCAGAAAACACTTGTCTAAGAATGAGAAAGAAATGTCAGAGTTGAGAAATCAGATGCAGGAGCAGCTGTGAGTGACTACCAACAACTTCTGGATGTTAAACTGGGACTTGATATTGAAATCAACATATATCAGAAATTGCTGGAGGATGAAGAGAGGAGGTATGAAATAATGTAGCAACAAATGCTGGTACCTTTGTGTTTCCCTTACTTGTCTCATTCTCTCAAAAGGCAGTTCTAACTGAGAATGCACTAATTAGGTGCTTTACTACAGTTTCCAAGGGCACTGTTTGGTATTGCCCCCTCCTGTCTGACACATTTCTAAGTCTCCAGGAGACCAAGCTGCTTGAGTAACAGATCAATAGCTCTCAAGGGAACCAATATCATTCTTCTATTAAGATTCAGCACTGAGTACGTAATGGATTGTCATTTGCATGCAGATTGTCATTAGCCAAATTTCTACATGTATGGAATAATTTTAATAAAATAATATGTTATCATTTCCAGGTTATCAGCTAACTACATTTTTTACATTTGACCCCAGAGTTTAGCAATGTTGAGAATTTTTGCCTGATAAGTTGCAGGTGTCACTTAAAGTAGTTTGATACTTCACTGTCTTCTGAATACAGGTCCAGGCTCATTCCTCTCAAGTGTGGGGATGAAAAACAGCAAAAGCTCTTGTACCTTTCGGTTTTGCATAAATTTCCTACGATGGCTTAAGTTTCCCTACTTGTGCTATCTACCCAGGAATTCGGTCTTTGACAAATGCATAGAGATGTCTTTACAGTCTTAAATGTAGCAGTCCATCAGTATTCTGTGGTCCAAAAGCATTAATTAGCTGTTTGGTTAACATTTTATTCAACTCTTCAAAAAGTACGGAAGGCTTAGCTTTTTCATGTAACATGCCTTATTTACTATATTCCTGTACCCTTTTGCTTTATAATTCTATGGGAAGAAGAGAAGAAAGTTTATAAAAATAAAAGTGGAAAAAATAAAACTGAAACATGATGTATGTGTATTTCTTCCTTTCTTCACTATAGGTTGCAGCTTTCTTCAAGCCCATCTTCCTGAGTGACTGTGTCACAGGCTTCATTGAGCCATAGTATGCATACAACCAGAGGGAAGAAGGAGAAGGACTGATGTGGAGGGATCTCAGGCCAGCAGAAGTGTTTGCATGTCCCGCTCAGCTTCTGTCACTGGGAATGTCTCTGTTAAAGGAGATTGACAGAAAATCTATCCACTTGAAGAACACCATTTACAATAGTCTGCTTAGAGGTAGAAGACATCCTTCACACCCTCTCAGCCTTCAGGCTTCATGTTGACCCTGGAGCTAAAACCCACTGTGTAAGAGATGGCACTAAGAAACTAGTGTGTCAGAAAATAAGCTTTCATACAGTAATCTGCATTGATGAGTTCTTCCTAATGATTTTTAATGCTTTTCATTTCAATTGTTTTATTGCTAGGTTGCCCATCCACCAAAGTGTTAACTCACTCTGAAGAGTTCTGCCTTGCAAGGAAAGCCTTGTAAAGCTTTACAGATTATTGTTGTCACTGATTGGAAATGGTGCAAGCTAACATTAGGCTACTTTAGAAGCCTTTTAAGAACTTTTTTTGCCTTAAAAAGTCCTGAAGGAAATACATGCTGATGCAAAATAAATGTCTGAATGTAATTGACAGTGTCCCTTGTACTTCTATACAGCCTCTCTAAATCAATTTTCCTTCTTCCTTGGCTGCATCCACAGTTTTTTAGGAGCCCTCAGTTCCCACGTTAAAGCCACCTTTATGATGGCTACTCAGATTACTTCATTCTGTGAATAGGCTGGAGTTGGTACTGTGGGAAACACATACCTATTTATCAAGTTGTACTTAATTTGAGTAATAATGAAGGTTTCTTCCTTATGTTGCCCTCAGAATGATGCTGTTGTATTCAGTACATTTTCTCCCTGCCCCTCACACCACCCCAACATTACTTATAACTTCTGCTCAAGGTAAAAAAGCTTTATACCATATGAAGTTCTGCAGGTCATCACAGGAGGGGCTGGAGAGTGGGGACTATAATATCTTAAAGCCTTGTCTGAGAGAAGCGAGAATTGAGCACTGTCTCATTAGGACACCAGAGTTACCTAATTTCTCACAGCCCTGATTTCAGAGAACACTTGAGTAATTTTTGTCTTCTGTGCTGTCTGCACCTCATCTGTGTGTAGAAGTGTTATCTGCATTCTTTGTTTCCAGTGACACATATGCTTTGTCTAATGTCTTCAGATTCTTTACCTTTACTAAAAGCCAGCTCATCTTGATGTTTTAGATGACAAAGATTGGTCTGATTCCAAGTGTCTCAGTCTTCTCCAATCAATGAAGGGACAGACTGCTCCAGATGGTAATACATATGCATTTAATTATCAGCCTGGGCTTTTGGCCGAGAGTGCTGACTTCATTTACTGAATAGAAGAAACCATGACAACTGTCTTGGTCTAGAGAGCTAAGCGCTTAGATGACTACATTCAGGCAAATCAAAGACTACTTCTAGTGAGTCAGAACCTGCCATTTTTTATCTTTTTGAGCTTTTTCAAGCTTATGGGATTTCCCTCCCTACTTTGTGTACCACATGGATTTCCCTGCCTCTTATTTAACTGCACATTCATTCTTCCATGGAAGGACCATGAGTTCCGTTACCAATAGCCATGGATAGCTTATGGTTATAGGATAGACATACATAGCACTTTGCCAGAGCAACTGTTTGTCGTGCAGTGTAATAAGGTATACTTGGGGAATTTTCACAAGTGTTTGACAGTTTATATGTAAAAATAGATAGAAAATGTGTAAAATTCTCTTTAATGGTAAGTTTTGTTGCAATGACCAACTGAATGTCAGCATCCATTAAGATAAATAAGGTTGTTTATGTTAAATGATCTTAACTGTCTGTTTTCAGACTCCAGTGGCAACTGTTTAATGTTTGGAAACTGTAGGTGGGAGAATTTAAAGATCTACTCCCGTTTTGAAGTAGCCATTCTGTAATGATGACTTGTATGTGGTTTTCTATTAGATTTTCCTAGTGCTTTTCAAGTAGTTAATGGGAAAAAAAAATAATTGAAAGGGAAAATAATGTAGGTCTTGCAAAGGAGTATTTAGTGGGAGGTGTGCATATGTAGAAACACATTTAAATTGACTGACAGGAATATTTTGTTTTCTAAGAAGCCTGCTTGTCATTCTGTGCTTCAAAAAAGGTATTACATATTTGTAAGGGGATTTTAATATTTATGGGGTTTTTTTGGATAAAGCTATAACAAATGATGCAAATAGTAAACATTAGCTAATACATCCAGCCTTTCAGTTCTGGTGTTATATTAAGCTTTCACTTGAAATAAGAGGTAAGACAAATTTAATTAAGATTATTCTAATTGTGTGCTGAAGATTGTGTTTTTAATGAACATTTTATGTGCCTCACAGCCTTATATGTAAAATACCCTACATGTGCAACAAAATCACTACTGATGGAATTTTTTCTCCTTTTTATTAGGATCAACCTATGGGAGGCTGGGAGATGATCCAAAAAATGGGAGATATTTCTGCTAGTTACAGATATACCTCAAGATATATACTAAAGGCAGGCAAACTGCTACAGTAAGTTGTCAAGCTTCAGCTGTTCAGTTGAAGTAGACTTTAGGATAACTTGTGTGTGTCAGTAAGATGCAAGGGTTTTAGATTTGTTCTTTCTGTGTACATGTTCATAAAATAATCACCTATATTTATATTGGGCATGAGCTGTATCATTTGCCGGGATGAAGTTAGAGCCACATTTTTCAAAAACTTACTTTCTATATAGAGGAATAATTTTGACCATAAACAGTGTGGTTACATATTTGAAAGTCTCTGCATTAAAAAATGTAGGTATGTTTTATTGTAAGAAACTTTGGAGGTAGGTAGGCGGAGACTTGTATTTTCTTAACTGGAGGAGATTCACCACTGTCACTTAAATGGAATTCATTAACTCAATAAATAACATGGAAATGTATAAGACTAGCAAATAGTGCTCATGTGTGACTTCTTTTGACAGATCTGGGCTGCAAATGATGGAGTAACTGCTAGCCCTCCCACTGACCTCATCTGGAAGAACCAGAATCCTCGGGGCACTGGTGAAGATGTGAAAGATGTATTGAAAAGTTCTCAGGGAGAGGTAAAGTACCTCAGATGTGGTTAAACTTACCTTTCTGTGGTGCCATCCCCTATAAAGATGCAGGTAGAACCATTGTTAGGACTTTATATGTGAATGCAGGTGAGTGTTTAGTAAAGTTTTCTCCTTTTGCATTTCAACTCAGCATACTGTACTCCTGTCTGTCTTAACTGCAATTTAGGAATGCAATCTATTGAAGCGTGTGAAATTTTTTCCCTATGTTGAGCCTAAGTAGTAGAAGAATGACTTGTTCGGACACTGCCCTCATGCCAGGAATTGGGCAGTGCCTTAGAATGCTTTGAAAAGAAAAAGTTTTAGAAAGCTTTTCAGTGATTTGTCTCTTAAATTAGTTTTGCTTAAAATTGTGTCTGGTGGAGTGGGGAATGTTACCACGAAACTCACTTTAAGCCATGAGGCATTCATTCTGATAAGATGAGAGTTAAAACTTTGGGTAGGACAGTCATTAAGATATCTTACAATTGAAAGAAAATATTTAAATATATTAAAAGCAAATTTTGGAAGAACTTAATGAGAGTCTCCTTAGACTCTTTCTAATCATTAAGGAATTTAATACTGAGGTGTTTTGAATGCTGTTTATGCGCAGCAGTACATGTAAAGTGTAGAGACAAAATCAGTACAAGTAGCTTTCCCACACTAGAACTCCCATTTCTCAAAATTCGAGTAGATTAGCACTGTATCTTTAGACGTGTCAAGTCTTAAAAATAAAACTCTGTTGCAGGAGGTTGTTCAGAGAAAAACCTAGACATGAAGGGGAAGAGCAGGAAGCTGAGGAAGAACCAGCTGAATCTGAGGAGGAAAAAGACCACCACAAGTAGGTATCTTGGTTTAGGTTAAGGTTATTTAGGTTGAAGAAACAGACATACAAGTAACTAATTTATCAAAAAATACCATACCTGTTTGGGTGTGGGTTGTTTTATTTAATCAGTAATTTATTGAAAGCATGAAGCCACATTACTAAAACCAGTATAAAAAAATACTGCATCATGTAGTCCCTTGATGGAGAGAAATGGATTTTTCTTAAAACAAGGTGGTCTTAAAAAGAAGCTTTTTTTTTTTCTTAAACTCTGTTCCTGATAAGATTTCTTCGAAGCCAATTGTTTATGATAAAGTTTGGCTTAAGCAGGGACACAAACACTTAAATTTATCTGAAGTTTTGAAACCTTCGCTCTCAGTGAAGATACTGTCAGAGAAAATGCTGAAGAAATACAACTCAGTTGAAAGGTGTGAACTTGCAGTGACAATGTAAAATGTTTTTAAATATAAGGGAAAATACTGAGATAATAACATACTTGATTGTTCCCATTCTGACTTTTATCTATTATTTTACTGGTTTGACTAGTTATTTTTAAAAAAAAAAAAAAAGTAACATATGTAAGTTCCTGTAAGGCAACATTCATTGCTGCTTTGTCTAAATCTTTGCTGTGTTTCAGTTAGTATGTATCTTAATGCCAGTTAGCAGAGATAATACAGAACAGTAATTGAGCATGCATATGTAAACAGACAAAAAAAGGGAAGAGTTGGCTGTGTTAGAAATAGTATTTTTTTACAACCATGGGTTTTTAGCCTATAACTAAATCATAACTTTGTGGCATCTAATAGAGAGTCAGGTTTTTATTGCAGTTATGCAGAAGTTCTGAAGTGCATCCAGCTGCTCTTGTGGTTTCTGGAATCATGTAGTTCAGCTAAAATGTGTGTCTTAGTAGCTTTACTTACAAAAATGTTAGATGAGATTTCTTCAGATAAGAACTGTCCAAGTACTTGTATGTGCTACGTGTAGTATTCACCACCTGTCTAAAATCAATGATGCTTTTTGACTTGAAATTCAATTACAGTAATTAAGTTGTGTTTTTCTGGTACCTGTCCTCTGTTACCTCTCATAGGAAAGGATATCTAGCATTCTTTTACAGGTTGTACAGCTTTGCATGCTCACTCTTGCTTAGACCATGCCAGGCTAATAATTTAATATATTAAAAATGTATAGTATACCACTTTGAATTGCTAAATATTTTACTGCTGGTATTTTTTCAATACAACTCTTCCTATTCACAACAGGCAAGACCAAGGACATCTGATAAACTGTGAAATCATGTAAATTTCATCAGCCAGGTTTCTCAGATCATGGTAATACTTGCCTATGGAACAGAGCCTTCTCAAAAGCACAATATATTTTTTTGTTTGTGAATTTTTAACCTGTGATTTTGATGGCCTTAATATCCTTCGACACTGAAAGGTTGTAAAAGTCTTTTAACTTTCTTGCAGGATCTTGTTGACTGTACTGTTTAAAAAAAGGATGTCCCTGTCCCTCAGATTTATATGCTCTTTGCTGACACCTAGCCAGAATAGAAACATTCCACTGTGTTTTGGGGATCACTTTTCTTAGACTACACCACTTGAGACTAGTCAGTTGCTGCTGACCTCTTTATATTTAGGTGCTGTTGGGGAAGGGGAAAGCATTTTTGATACTTCTCACTCTCTTACACTTTTTCCTAGAGTGCACCAAGAAAACCAAAGGAAAACACACAAAAAACCAACACACACAAAAAAACATAGTCCCACTGATCATGTAAGCACTCAGAGGATGAAGGATGAAGTAAAACTTACTGGTATTACTCCTTTCCTTTCAGATTGCTTATGTTGGAGGAGGGTTAATCATGTTAGTGATGTTTTTAAGATAGTGTAACCAGCTTAATTTTTCTTACTTTTTTTTTTTTTTTTTTTGGATTCTCTCACTTGCTTACAATTTGTAGGAATAAATCAAGTCTCTTAGGGGTTTAGTCAGCACTTTAATGGTAAACAACTGTAATTTTGTCAATGTGGAAAGTTTATCTGTCCTTTCTGCATTAATTTAATGTTTGAAAAAGCTTTAAATAAAATAGTCTATTAAGTAAAGCTTTTGGAATTTGTTTCTTCCTAGAACAGAGCTAAAAGTTTAATGAAGCTGGCAAAACAGCCATGTATATGGAATGAGGGCAATTGACTTGTAAAGATTCAGTTGGAAAACTAATTCTTTAGAGGTTTATTCAAACTGTTGCATAACTGTTTCTGCATCTTTGCTCATATGTTGGTTCTTACTGGACTGTAAGAACTAACTACATCATACATATGTTTTACAACATCATACAAGTACCAGACTGAATAGTTTAAGCATGGCATAATAGCATAAATAGAAATTCAGAAATACTATAAATATTTGTCTTAGTCTGGAAGGACTTTTAAATGTATGGCTAGAATTTTGAAAGTTGATTTGAGCTTTTTACTAGCATTAGCCTCATGACAAATTTAATACTTTTTAATAGGTCTTTCACCTTGGGTAAGTTCCCTTTTCAGGTGAACTACAGGGTGGCATTTCAACCTTGTGCCAGCAGAAGGGGAGGCACGGGTGGCCGGTGGTTATGCAGAAGTATGAGGATTGGGGGACTGCTGCTTTTAACAGTAATGCTGGCTTAAACTGCATTAAACCACAGTATAACACCTGATTTAATTTCTTGTTTATATTTGAATGTTTACATAGTATAAATACCTCATGACTTAAACATTACTGTGTATACTATAACATTCTGAACACTTCTCGATTTGTGCGAATAATGGCATTCTATTCATTGTAGTCTCACGTATCTGTAGGCATATACCATATAAATATGTATGTTGTAGGAAAGGGTTAATTCAATTCCTTGTTTATTGTTTTCAAAACTAATAGCACAGGCTAGCAATTTATTCCCATAAAGACATGACTGGGCCAGTTACATAGGACTGTTTGTATCTTCAAACAGTAATAAAGAAAAATATTTTGTGTGTAGATATTGGGTACCTCATTCTTAATTCATAGTAGGAACCTGCCAGTATAATCAAGCATTCTTGGTTATATCTTTTGTAGACCCTGGGTTTTGTTACCAGGATGATGATCAGTGCTCTGTCAGTACCTCAGTGTATAGCTAGGAGCTGCTACTTGAAACTAGTTTTCTCTCTAAACAGAGTTTTTACATGAGTCTTGTGAATATTTTGGTAAATCAGCACTCTTGTGATGGTTGACAATAGGAGAAATGCTGATTTTAGAAAAATTATTTTTCTGTTACACGTACTTCTGTAAACTAGCATAGTGGTGGAAAATACAAATGACCCTTCTGGGGAGTGTGTGTGCATGTGTTCCCTCTAACCTTTAGCGCTGAAACATCCTACCACCAAGTGGAGATCTTGCTACTCAAATATTTAAAAAAAAAACCCACCACCACAAAAAACACAAAAAAACCCAACCAAAACCAAGCAGCCTAAAACTTCTTACACTTCCCTGTGAATTCCATAGTAACTTCTGAAAGTTTCTTTACTGAACAGAATGACTTCTGTTCTACACTTTCCCCATCTTCCTGCATGGAAGTCCAGAAGTGCATTTTGATTACCACAAAGTAGGGTGGTTTTTTCATTTTTTGTACTGAAAAACACCAGTTTGTGGAGGTACGCATGGTGCCACTGTATGCAGCAACTCTGTCACACAGTGTCTGGGAGAGCTCTTGTTCCTATTAGTTTGAAACTGCATTCAAAATACACCATCTGAGTTGTTGCCATTACTGCCATAATATACACCAGTCTCTGTTACAGAAGGCACACTGGGTTTGGTAAAAGTATCTGACCACTGAAAAATGGCTATATGGAATGTTACATGAAATGTGTTAGTGTTTTCTGGAGATTGTTAGGTAATGAGCCAGAGAAGCAAACAATATCCTAGTTAGCTCTGTAGACATGTTCAACTTGTGGTTAGAAATTTGGCATGTCTTCATTACTACTGTTAGAGTAATATATGAAGATTGGTTTTAGGTACATTCAGTCCTTTCTATAGAAACAGATAGGGGTTATCATTATCTGATAATGATCTGTCACAGAGTTGACAAGACATACAAATTGTATCATCTTGGCAGGTGAAAACTGTTCAGTAACTTACTGTTTGCAACTAGAAAAACACTTCACCGGAAGTGTTATCTGCTCAAATGCATTCGTTCCTATGAAAACCAAAATAATCTGTTTAGGAAACAAGTGGTTTGGTTTATACAGCACTACTGTGATGAACACTCTTGAGGCAAGGCACACATTCCTGTCAGCTGGTCCTACTTCTCTAGAAGTTTGATTTTTTGGGTTGATTCACAGCACAATCAGTAAACCTGTAAACTGCGTTCTTTGCTTATAGTGGACAAGTTCATTAATAAACATCAGTATAATCAACTGTACTCCTGTGGCACAAATTATTTTACACAGTTTAGTCAATTGTAGCTCTATGCTACAAATTGTCTCATGACTCTTGACTTCTTAATCCCTGCTGTGTATACCTACACTGTATTTGCCCAAGCAGACAGCAAAATATAGAAGGGGAAATGAATGCATAAATAATGTAAATATCTTTTCTGTTCAATAGATGCTAATTATTGTCTGCTTCTGTAAAGCGATTTTAAACTTTTGTCTTAAATTTCCATGGGTAAACTTAACTGTCTTATCAGTGTATCATTTTGATATTAATTTGAGGGTTTCTGGAGTGAAAAGGATGTTTTATGGGGAAAATCCAAATCTATGAAACAGTGTCTTTTATATTCATACTATACTGTAAGCAATATAGATACTCTAGGTGATAGCAGTGTAGTAGGGAAAAAAAAAATGCTGCTTTTGCAGAAATAGCCACATGGTAACTGACTATGAAATATTCCCTCCAGGCAAAGAAAGTAAATAGTTGACAGGGAATAAAAGCCTTTAAAGCTCTTGTCCTAAATAGGACAACTAGTATGAACATGATTTTTATAAAGCGAATGGAGGCTATGCATGATGGATGTGAATGCTTATTTAGCCTTACCTGGTATATGATGGTTAACCTCAAGGAAACACTGGGGCACTTATTTATAATATTCAACTAGAACCATCATAGGTTATGGCAAAAGCTAGCTATTTTGTCTCATGCTTTGCTTAGTGTGCATTTATTGCTCTGTGTCCTTTGTTGCCTCCTCTGGTTTCCCTTTATGGGTTTGTGTAAATGCGGGATTTTTTTTCTCTCTGTGATTAACCCTGAAGAAAGAGAAGTTACATTTGGTGGCATCAGTAAAGACATACTTCAGCTTGAGCTGACTGATAGGATTTTCCTATGGTTATCAATTAACTCTTGGATGTGAATTTTCATAGCTGGTTTGATGTTGCATTTTATGAACAGAAAATACTATTGGCAAGCAAGTAAGACCTCCATAATGTAAATCATGGAATTGTTTTTTCTCTGCAACTGTAGCATTACATTTCTGAAGGCAGTGTGTTTTGTGCTGTTTTTCAATGGGATGTTGTAGATAGAATGCCACCATGAATTTTTTATTAACAAGTTGTATTGAGAAGGTATTTTGTAAACTTACAACAGAATTGAACTAGAATCACAATCAGTTCTATAACCTTTCAACACCAAAGGGAGGAAAAGATGTTCGTAGTGTTGCCAAAATGAGGTGTAAGAGGCTGTCAGTAAAAAATTTTAAGAACTGAAAGCAGTCACAAGTACTAACAAACTTGGCAATTGTTGAGATATAACTTTTGATTTTTTGAAAAAGCTTTCTTACATGGAAATTAAATTCAAAATGGGGAATGACAGCAATGAATTAGTACGCAGTGTGGTATCATCATCAGTTATGTTACATACTATATACCTATACTGTAGGCTTGCTTGTTTTATGAACCTGCTACATATTTATAAAGACTAGAGGCCTCTGTTGTACATCTTGCATTGTCCAATAGTTTATACTTTTGAATACCCCAAACGAGTAAATAGGCAATACTCAATTCTGCTTCCAAGGAAGATGCCTGTTTAATTAACCAGATCTGTGTTAAATGGAACTTGGTCTCATAAACAGTAATGTTAAGAGCTTAATTAAGTTTTAACAAAAACTTAACATTCACTTGAAAGGGAGAGGTGTTTTAGCTTTCTTAGCACTCAAGTGTTTCTCACAGTAGCTTTCCCTATCTCTGATGGTATCTATCACATCAGAGGCCAGTTGCATATATTGGCCCTGATACAGTTTATGTACTGAGTTGTATTACCCTGTGTGCCTTCCTACTGTGAAACTGATGCAAAGCTGTTCTTAATAAATGAAATGTAAATGAGTTTGAAATCTCAGTCTTGCAGAACTATATAGTCAAGTAAAGAAAAACCCAACCAAAACTGATAAACCTGAAGTATCTTTAATTCTACTTCTGATGTGACTTCCTTCCAGTTGTAGAGAATGTTGTGGTATTTCTAAATTTTCAATTACAACCTTCTGTATCAGTTTCTTAATTTCTTAAGTGGTTTATACTGCTGCTTCCTCTTTTATTCTCACCACCACAATAAGAATCGAGCAGTCACATAATGTAGAGATACTTTCTGTGAGATAATGGATATGTGAGCAATCCTGCGCGTGTGCACGACTGATGAGAGCCTCAGTCTTAGCAAGGACATGACAACAACATAGCCATGAAGGGAGAACAAAGAACTCAGCAATCAAACAACTCCAGGAAATGGGTTGGGTGGAGAAAGACATTCTTATTATCCATTCGAAAGAAGGCTTTGAAGCACATGAACAAAGCTAACTATCCATTCATAAGGATTGTACTACATACCATTCACATGCATAGGAGAAAGCATTATAAAAGGGCTTGTTTACCTTGAATAAATTTGCATTGCTTGATGATATTGGTCATATGCGTTTCCATATCTCCTGCAACATAGCTTTGTCCTGTTGAATCTTGTACCTTTTCAGCATCATCATTTTGTTAAATACCACTACTTAACCTTACTTTGTCATCTTTGTTGTTTCATGTAATGTGATAAGACTAGCCTTGCAGTGAAAGGACTAGAGAAGTAGTATAACTTCCTCAATTTGCACTCATTAATACTGAATTGTAGTGGACTCTGTGTGGATTTAAATCTATATGCTTAGGCGCCAATCAGTAAGGAGGACATAAAGGAACAAAATTTTATGTCTGCAGCTGAGAAGCCTTTTTGGGGTGACTTAAGTTGCCACTGCAGTTGCTGCTGCTTTTATCGCAGCTTAAAATACTGACTTGAATATTACTCCTTCTGTGTAACTTCTTACATGGCAAAGGAATGTAAATGACAAGACCAGCTGTATGAGAAGTCATAATGTTGCTGAAAAGAAAACTGAGTGACACTATTAAAAAAAAAAAAAAAAAAAAAAAAAAAAACCAAACCTTCCCTATCCTTCTATTAGTTAACTTTTGCTTAACAGGGAACTCTAAAGATGTCATTGTACTGCCAGGAGCTTTGCTAGCTGTAGCTAGCAAATGAAAGTGAGTATTGCTGCTGTTGTAGAATATTTGCTGCAATGATCCAGTTTTAAAATTGTTAATTAAAATTTGGACTTGCTGTGGTAACAACAGGCTCAACTAGTGGCAGGAAAAGTAATACTCATCAGGAGGAGCCTTCTGTCTGCAAGTCTTTAGCTCACAACAGAGGTGGGAATATCGCCCACCTTCCTGTTGTTTTAGGGAAAACAAGGAAGAATACAAAGTCTTGCTTCTTTTTCCATGGGTTTAATGCAAATGGATCAGTGTGCGGCTGAATCTTTTCTGGCACTTTTTTCTCAAGAAAATGCATGGGACACTATTGTTAGTGACATGCATTGTCAGTTTTGCTGTACTTCTGCATCAAGCAGAGAAATTACAGTAGTAATGTACTTGCTAAACTGGACCATGCTTTCTTCTGGCTGCTTCACTATGCCTTCTTCAGATTAAGTAAGTCATCTTTAAACAAAAAGTGAAATTTTACATAACACAGATGAGCCGAGCCAAGTCACTCTGCTGATCTGTCTGCATATACCTTGCAGCTTGATATGTTTAATTGTTTTCCTAGTTGCTATTTAATTCCATATCATCATCCTGTTTTTTTGTTTCATGAAAAGAAGCAAAAGTAGTAACAGAATTCTGGAGAAAGCTTACCTAAAGCAAATGTGTGGCCATCAAAATAGTGTCTGACAGTGTCTTGACATAGTTAGACTTGCTTTATTTCTGCACCACTCACTGGCTAGTAGGTTTTCTTTTAACCTAGAACTCTCTGCTCATGTCCATGTTCAGTCTTCTGTCCAGATGAGGGGTTTAAAAAAAAACAAACAAGCACTATGGGTTTTAGGCCATCACAGAGTTGGTCATATGTATGTCTTCAGTATTCACTGGCAAACATGACCAATCGCCTGACCTTACTGACAGACTAATGAGTACAGATCTGCAGGTTTGGTTTTCTTACGTATATTGGCTTGCTGTGAAACTAGCTTTATGTCTAAATAGGGCAGTTACTGATTTATACAGGTAGCTGATTCTTATATCCCCATGAAACTGACAGTTACAAAGAATATCATTAAATAACATGGCTACAGCTAGACTGGTCCAAAGACAGAATAAAGAAGCTAACAGATTTGGTCTTATATACTAAGCTTTTTCTTCCATTGAGCACTCACAACATCAAATAAGCTCTTGTCTGATGGTAAACACCCATAATACCTTGAATTATCTGAATTATAAATTATTAGCCATCTTATTATGTGGTCCCCTTTTCAGTTCCTGTAGAGTTTGGAAAACAAAGCATATGATGGCATTGCCATCTGTGCACATTTATAAAAAATTCATCTGTTCAAAGGAGCTATGTATCAATTTCTAATTCTAGCAGCTTTTGTTGATGAAATTTTGTGTAGTTGTGTAAAATAAGTCTTTCTACATAAGTGTGTGTGTGTCTTAGAGTCAAGAATTGCTGAATGAAATGGGCATAAAACCAGGGTATCTAACTAGGTATCACACGGTAATAAAGTCTAGTCTTTACACTTCAAATTCAGTTTGGTTACCGTAGTAGGCTGTGGATTACATTTTTTAAAAACAGCCTTAGTCTCAGTGCTACAGTGAGAGGTCAGGATTTACGTACAATCTGCTAAATCCACCTGTCAAGCTGAAAATTCTGCAGCTTTAAAATAATGCTAATTTCTGAGATAAGTTCCTGCTTCCTTACATGTGTCTAATGATCTCATTCATTATGTATGCAGTTTTCCTTATAAAAATAAGAATTAGGGTTAAAATCAGACTGGTGTAAATGCAAAGTTAATTGGCTAAACTGGTTCAGTTCACACCAGCAGAATGTGCACTTCAGCACGAAATGCGGTACCTAATTTGTTGCTTTTGAGTGGAAAAAGTAAAATTGTTTTTTTCGGTGCTGTGTAATAGAATCTTTTTGAGTAGGAAGATTATTGCAATTGCTGTAATTTCTTTCTTTTGCACATGTTAAAGTTATTACTGCAGAATTTTCCTGTTAGAATTTCCCTGCCAAATAGGCAACTGAGAGACTTTTCTAATCACTTTACAGTGTTTAGTTAATATGCCAATTTGTGGAACTCATTACACATGTTTTAATAATCAAAAATATTGGTATAAAGGACCTTCAAATAAAATCAACTGGGGGAGTTCCATTGCTGTGCTTTAGGAAGGAAAAAGCAGCACTTGTTACTCTCCAGATACATACAAAAATAATACTGTAGGAACAAGAAATTATGAAAACAAAGCACTTTTTAAAACCTGTTTTGCATTGTTAATTATCACAGTTCAATATTTTAAACAAAAAAATTGCATCACTTGCTGATGCAAGTAGTAGCACACTGTATGAAATTACATATACTTATCTGCTAAGGAAACAAGTTTGGCAGTTTAGCAGATCTCATGATTGCAGCATCTGTGATTTGAATTGAAATAGTGATTTATTCCTCTGCAAAGAGTTTGTAAATCAGAATAGCTCCTGAGTTCTGGACAGTGTCTGGCCCCAGTGAGTTTGAGGCACCATTTTTAGTGCATGGCACCTGTGCAGAAACTGCCCAAGTCAGACAACTGTCTCCTTTGAGTTCCTTTTGAGGGACTGCAGTCCCAGGAGGTACTGCTGGTTGGAGGGGACATTGGTAGACTTTGGGATTAGGAGTATCACCCGCTGATTGGTCCGACGCCATTCATTGTATAATCTACAGTGATACCTAAAAGATACCTGGGGAGAGAAGAGAGATGTGCTGTGTTTAGAGTCACTGTAGTCCTCCAAGGAATCAGGATTGGGGAGAAATGCCTTCAAAAGCAGCCTAACTCTGGGTAGGATAAAAATAAGCAAAAAGGGGCAAGCAAAGATGAGACCTACCATGCAGATGGCTTGTTTCCCAAGTTGCCACAGCAAAGCAGCCTGTGCTCTACCTTCTGCTGTTGCCTACCTTTCATTCCCTTTTTGTAACAAGAAAAATTGGACATTCTCTCTTTCCCAAGAACTAGAATTACTGCCAGCTGCTTACAATGTGAAGAGTTTGGGGTACTATCATGCTGCAAGTAGTTAAACTGACAAATAATGTAATTGGCTGGACGGTGAATGCTTGCATGTAGCTAAACTGTGTGCAAACACTAACAGGGTTGTGTGTTCTACACTCTAATTCTTTATTGCTGAATGCATCAAATTTAAGACTGCATGGATGCAACAAGTGTGAGCCATCTGCCAACATGTCATCTCAGATTATCTTTGAATTTTTTTTATTGTTGTCAGTTAACCAATTTCAGCCTTAGTGTGGTTCTGCAAATAGTGGAGGAGAAATGATTGACTGCTACAGAGATAAAAGATAGCCTTGACCTTCTATTTTTTAAAAAGTTTACCGTTTATTCTGGTAACAGTCAAGTCCAGTGAGAGTTCTGTCTGTGTAAGATGATGTACATGTGCGGATTTTTAAAAAACAACAAAAAAGAAAATAAAAAACCCTGTAAACTGGCTTGGGACCTTTTGGGTGAAATGTGCCACATGACAGTTACTGTGTTCTTGACTTGTGGGTGGGAGGGACCCATGCAGTGACCACAGGAGGAACCCTGTTTTGTTAGCTGTTCTATCTTCATGTGCAACTGGCCATTTGTCACTGATTTTTATGCACCTGTGCCACTTCTGGAGCTTGCTGTTCAGAGGGTGGAGGGTGCCATAAAGGCTGGAGGTAAAATGCTTGGTTTGCACAGGTGAGTGAGTGGAAGATGCTGTTGGCTGCAGAGAAGTGGCTGTGCATGCTGCTGTCAAAAGGGGCTTGTGGCTGTCCTACCCCTACAGCAGTAACAGGATGGCTGCTAGTGAAGTATGGAGAAATATTATGTACATGCCTATGAATATATATTCCTTCAAAACCCTTTCCTTATTGTAAAAAGGGTATTTTTGAGTAAATCAATTATTTACATTTCTATAAAACCTACTAGTGACCAAAAAAAAAGCCAAAAAACAACTTTCTGGGGATTTTTTTATACAGCTGTCTGCTGTTAATGAGGGAAACTTACAGAGCTTCTGTTCGCTAAGCAGTTGCCCAAAGACAGCCCTTCCAACAGATTAACTGATTCACCACCTATCAATCTCCTCTGCTCCCCCGAAGGTAAAGCAGTCTTCATTTCTGTGAAAGATTGTATATGAAAGAACAAGAAAAATCTAAAAAAAAAAAAAAAGCCCTGCAGCATCAGCAGTGGTAGAAGAAAGAGGAGGGAGGAAAAACCCAAAACACCTGCAAATGCCATGCAAAATGCAGTGACTTCTTTGGAGCAAGCTATAGAGTTTGAGTTTTCAAGTAGCGTCACATGAGATTCTCTGAGGAACTGGGTGTGTTAAACCAGGCTTTAACTGTATTAATGTATTTTCACAGGATATCCTAGTGAAGTTAGACAGCTTGTTTACAATGGGTTCTTGCCTGGTGCTATCAGTCTTTTTAACATTAACCAGACATGTATTGTTTATACAAAGTTGAAGTAAGTACCTTATTTCCAGGTTCCTTCTTTTGATCACAATGCTTTTACAGTGACTTACCCAGTCAATGTCTGTTTAGAATGAGCAGATTAGAAAATTTCCTAGACACCACTAGGGCCTAAAGGAGCTTTTTATCACATGTACTGTGTGATTTACCCCACAGCACTCAATATATTCCCTGCACAGCCATAACTATGCAAGCAGTACAGGATTCTCCTGTTTCTGAAAATTAAAGGGTAGGTGCTGCTGGAATACTTGATGTGTTAGCACTTCTGCATGTTGGTCCCTTCCTTGCTGCATGCAAGAGGAGTGGAGCCTCCCCAAGGCAAATACAGGCTGGAGATTTCTTGCATGGCTGATGCGTCTTGGACTGCTGAGCGTAGGGTGCTCAGTGCTATTTCTGAAGTAGTTGCTTTAAATCTCTGCCTTGACACTGCAAATCTGCCCTTTGAGAAAGTGTGTGAAAACACTGTCACTCAAACCTATTAATTAATCTGCAGATATACTTAAACCCCAAAACTCTTCCATGCAGTACTAATGCTGTCAGGACAACGAGGACAGCTTCTGTACTATGAAGAGAGGCTGAGTCCTTCCCATTGTCTCTGCTTTGCCCACTGAATTAACCCCACACTGAACAAACAGGAGGGTTACTGTGCCTTGAAAGGCTTCCTGCCTTGCCTTTCCCTAATGCACATCAGCTTCATTAGCCCATCCACCTCCTGCTGGTCTGAATAACAGATTAAAGTAGAATACCTTCCCCAACTCAGTGGACATTAAACTGTATTTCAACTAAATCAACAAAGGCATGCGTTTACATCAGGCTCACTTCCACTGTATTCTCCATGTGCCAATATCGCATTTCCTTGTATGCTTTTGAAGGGGTAAAAGTTAGAAAGTAGATAGAAGGGGGATTTGCCACTTAACGATGCAAATAAAATAGGTGGTGTTAGGGACTAACTGAGATGCTGCAGAACTCTTAATGAGCAAGGTCAGATATGTCTATGTCTGTGTGTCACGGGTAATTAAATTCAACTACTTAGCCAGACTACCCTTTCCAACTTCAACAATTTTGGTGCTTGTAAATTATGTATATTAGGTAAACTGAACAGCATGTGGGTTTCTAAGACAGTCACACATAAAGGAAATTTGAACCTTTACTTGAATACCTGACAGACATATTAACACACACAGTACTGCAGGAAATAAAGTGCCACCTCACTGCTGGGGTAAATGGCCATCCTGTCAAAGGGGAGGGCTGCTGCTTCACAAAAAACAGAAGCAAGAACAACAAGAGGAGAAATTTCAAGTTACCCTACTGTTGTGCACTGCTAAAATTAGCCTGCAGTCCTCTATGGATGAGACAGGGTTTCACTGTTATGAGTGAAGTAAATGAGATGTTACCTCGCATAGCTTTCTTGGAGCTAGTTTTTAGATATCTGTGTAGGGTTTTTGCGTTCCCACACCACCTCCCTCTTTCCAAGTTTACTCTGGGCTGAGCACAGGGGTTTCTTGCTGTGGGATAGTCTACTAATGCGAAAGTGCCACCTCATCAGCAGCTTACACTTATCAAAAACTGCTGGAAGGGGTCAGCCATACAGTGTGGCCTTAACCATGGATGGGGAGATCTGGGTGCTGGCCCTGTGGGATTAGTGGCTATACCAACACCTCTGGCAGGGTGGTCTTGCCCCCACTCAGGGCAGCACAGGCTCAGATGAGCTCTTCCTCTCACAGCAGCAAAGACTTGCACCATGGCACAAGCATTAGTGTGAATGGTCCCTTCTCTGCATCTGCTGTTCTGTTCTCCTTCCCTCAGCAGAACTAGAGGTGTGAAACGTCAAACTCAACAGTAACCTAGGCTGTTCAGTGAACTGCCAGACCAGGGCTTGATAAACACTTATTTTGGCAGCTGTTGTCTGAGTTCCCTTCATTTCTGCTGGGCCAACTGTTTGTGGGTGCACTGGGGCCAGAAGCTGATTTCAGTTTAACTTGGCACAAAATAAGTGGGTTTTAGGATGGATTGGCACACAGGTGACAGCACACCTGGGTGCAGGACAGGAATAAGGCAGGGATTTAATCTGCCCTGCAAAGGCAGCTACATTTCTACAGACTTTGGTATAAGGCATGTTCTGCCATGGACTTCCCGTAGTGCCACGAGCACAAGGAATGAGGAAAGCAAGGGATGCACCCACATCTAAGCCTTCTGAATTGTAAAACTGGCCAGTTGTTGGATCAGAATAAAATCTAAATCCTCTGTGGCAGCCAGGATGTTAACCTAAAGCTTTTTTATGGGCTATGCCTTCGACTTTTGCATATTATCTTTGAGGAGACTCTCTCCTGTAGTATGTCTTGAACTCTTCCATGTTATTTCCTTGACTCCCTCTTGCTATTCCCTCTGTGTTTAGGATTTGGAAGTTACTGACCCCAAAGGCAAACGGTCTTTCTGGTTTTCCAGAGAATTTGAATGGTGTAGAACCAAGAGGTTTCTTGCAGATGTAACTTAAATTTATCAGTACAGAAGGTGAATGTAAGCAATACTTTGTACAGTAGTTGACTTGCTCAACAGCACTCTATTTAATTTTCTGATTTCTGATGGCTGCAAGCAGTTGATGCTAATTGCTGTAAGACACACCCAAGGACATAATTTTTGCAGCTGTGGTGGGTACATCCTGGGGAGGGCAGAGAAACCAACAGACACCTGTGGCAGGCAAAGATAACAAAGCTGAGAAACTTTACAGACAGCAGTGAGCCAAGATGAGGCATTCACATTAGGTGGAATGATCCCCCATGCCTCCTGTGCTGTGATAAAGAATGCTGCCTTCTAAAACTTCAAACTAAGTCTTAGGGGTTTCTTTGGAGACTGAATTTATGATTACAGTTCTTTCCCCTTATACGTGTGGGTTGAATACAAAACTAGTACTTACTAGGGTCCAAAAGAGGTAAATAGTGAAGAGTGCGACAGTGAGTGCAATGAGGCCAACAGCTTCTAGCCTACTACTAAAGTGCAGATGGTCCACTGCTCCTCGTAGACACAACCAGCCAGAGATGGTCGCCAGCGGAGTGATAAAAAAGAAGCACACCATGTCTCCAAAGAGAGTCCGTTTCTCATGCTGGGGGCCTGGGTTCTTCAGCCACTGCAGGCAAAATGTAGACAAAACAAGTGTCAGCACGGGAAGGATGTTTTACCCAAGGTGAGCTGCTTGCAGAACAGAGACCACACACAGGACATGGCTTTGGCTGTCCCTAGAGAGCTCCCACCAGAAACTCTCCCCCTTGCTGCCTGCTGACGTGCACCTCTAGCCGTGCATACCTACTGTATCATTTATTCAGCTGTAGTAAAAGTTGCTTGCTAAGGGGAAGTGTTTTGCATAGACAGCCCCTGGCATTCGAACTAGGTGAGAAACTCCGGTCTTATTGTGGAAAGAATCACATGCTCTCCTGACAACTCAGGAGTGCAGAAAATGTTTGTTAATATTTTGTATGTTATTTTAAGATATTTTATTTACATTCTGCTTATAATATTGGCAAAACCACTTGAAACTTGCTTTCAAATATCCACATGCAAGCACAGCTGAAAGCACACAAGCTTACTAAGGATATTAACTTTGCAAAACAGTGTCTGAAAGTCAACTGCTGAAGTGAAGGTTGACTGAACATCTATCAAGCCCACATGCACGTGTTTCTATAAACAGGACTTTAGATAGCAGAGGTGAAAGAAGTAAGTCTGCAACAGAAACTCAGTAACTGAGACCTTTTAATAAACAACTCTCATCACTCAAATCAGTATTTGAACAGGAAAGTCACCAAACCCTGCAAATTTTGCCAATGTAAACCACAGGATTTAGTTGAAACTGGTCAGTAGCATCCTTTTTTTTTTTTTTTTCTTTAAGCATATGCATCGTACTATCAAGAATAGCAAATATTTCTTCCTGTGGCACCTAGGAACTGCAGTGATCCTGGGAGTTGTACATACTACCCTAGCCACCAAAGGCAAACACACCATGTACTGCACAGGACTGCATCTGCCCCAGACAGTCCAACAGTCTAAGCAGAGGAGTCAAAGCTGGGAAAGGATAGTGGAGGAGGAGTGCTGCTGGCATGGCCACAACTGGGCACAGGGCAGGCTATCAATTCTCAGTCTGCATGTCCCTCCCATGCCCCTGGACCTGAGTGCGGAGGCCATGCTGAAGGTAAGAACAGTCATGTTCCTCCACAGAGCTACTGCATTATTTGTTATCATCACAGTAAGAACCAAAGCCACTGCAGCTCTGTGCTGTGGATGGAGATAAGGACTGATCCTGCTAGCTGATGCCTGCAAGTAGTTGGTGCTAACTGCTGTAAGGTACGTCAGACAAGAACCTACCCAAGGATGTAATTTTTGCAGCTGTGGTGGGTACATCCTGGGGAGAGCAGAGAAACCAACAGACACCTGTGGCAGGCAAAGATAACAAAGCCGAGAAACTTTACATACAGAGCAATGAGCCAAGATGAGGCCTTATATGAAAAAACCCTCAGAGTTCATGGAAAGGACACTAAGACACCTCTTCACAATAGGGACCACCACAGACCACCAAAACCCCCATGGAAGCCCCCCAGAGACCCTTCCCCAAATGTCAATAGGTTTGTGCAATGTATTAGCATAGGCATTAGATCCTCTGGAAATAGGTGTATACTTCACAGAAATTACATGAATATTCATGGGTTTTATTGTATAAAATAAGTGTGCTGAATTTACAGTAACAGACTCATGCATCCTTAAACTCTCTTTCTTCCCAGTGTATTATACAGGGCAGTAGAAGCCCTTTCTCTTTAGCTCCAGAAACTAAGGTTGGGGAGGCCACTTCCTCCTTTTACCAGATAATGCCCTTTATTCTCACAGACACCTCAGGATTTTTTCTTCTTCTCCATTACACTGCTACAGCAATGACCCAGAGGGACAGCATGACTCAAGTTTTGACAAGAGAAGGTAAGGTTAAGAGCATTGTGCAAGCTAATAAGTATTTCTCACCTAGGTATCCTGCCCCTCAATTATTTTCAGACTCTGCTTCATCTTTTCCTGCTTTGCCCCCACCATGGAAATAAATAGAGCATTTATTTCTCCTTCTTCATATGGTGTAAAACAGCAATCAAGAAATTGAGTTCAACCAGGAACAGGTAGTCACTAATCTGGCACTAGCAGAAAAACACAAATGAGTAGATGAGTCTGCCTCAGCCTCACCTTCTCTCGGATGGAAATAATAAATTACTTGCTTCACAGGATTTTTGTGAAGTTTAACTGCAACACAGTAACTCAGCAGCCCAAGATCAATTCTCATGTATGACTCAGAAATTTAGGAGGGGACACAAAGATATATTCATAAACATTTTTTGCAGAATGTAGTCTTTTAATTTGCTTGAATACTTCTAAAATCGTAAGACAGTGGGAAGTGCTTCATAACTGTTATGTGCTACTGTAAACAAGAAGTTGTAATGAAAGACACTGGTTGAAGAGTGAGGCTCAGTATTGTGTGTTTTTTTTCTCCATTTTCAAGCATTCTCTCAAACTCAAGATTATTTCAAATACCTGAATAGCGGGTGTGGTGGGTTCACCCCAAGCAGCAGCTAAGCACCCACACAGTCGCTTGCTCATTCCCCCACCTCATTGGTATTTAAAACTTCATGCAAAACCAGATCTATGAAACTGTCCAAAATACCCTTTCAGTGCAAAGGTATAGAGATCTTTATTTGATGTTGTCAAATAATTTGAAACCCCTGAGATGAGCAAATGGGCTCAGTTTCCTTTTAACTGGCTTACTTCATCTGGTGTAAGCACACGTAACTGGAGACTGGAGAACTGCTCATCTGAAAGGGGAGACAGGCTGAGGCATCCACATGACATACCAGCAAAGCGAAGACTTACATTTGGAGAAGGAAATCATCAGAACAAGCAGCAACCAAGGGTCAGAACACCCTGGAGAGGCTCAGACTGAGAATTTATTTAACCTAACCAAAATGAGGTGCCAGCAGAAAACTGCTGTAAAACACTTCCACAAGTTTAAGCTACTTCACCATTGCCAAAGGCCAAATCCTGGAAGCACTCACCTCTGTAGGTCTACCATCAATTAGATGACTCACAAATGCTAAGTAAAGTATGTGCGTAGTTTTTTCTAGATCAGACCCTAAGGCTACAACCTGTTTATACAGAGAAGCCCTTTTCAGTTCACTATATTTTCCTTGGACAATTGATTTTACATAATTGTTGCTCGAGTTATACTAGCAGCAAAGAAGATTCCACAGAGTATGAAGAAAATCCATCCCCCTGCTTTTTAGTTAAAGATATTTAAATAGTTATGACATACGAAGCGGGGG